TGGCCAACGTTGGGCCAACATACTACTATCATCTTGATAAGACGCATTCTTTTTATGGGTGTATAACAAACATCGGGCCAACGTTGGGCCAACATACTACTACCAACTTTAAAAGACACTTTCTTTAAGGGTGTATTACAAACATAGGGCCAACGTTGGGCCAACATACTTCTACCAACTTTAAAAGACACTTTCTTTAAGGGTGTAATACAAACATCGGGCCAACATTGGGCCAACATACTACTACCAACTTTAAAAGACACTTTCTTTAAGGGTGTATTACAAACATCGGGCCAACGTTGGGCCAACATACTACTACCAACTTTGAAAGACACTTTCTTTATGGGTGTATTACAAACATCGGGCCAACGTTGGGCCAACATCAACACCCTTCCTTCCTTGGGAAGTAAAGTGAATGGAAGTTGCGAACGTTGGACCAACGTTGGGCCAACATAGGAATCTTCTCATGGTCGAGAAGGTTGGCATGGTGACATTGGTCCAACGTTGGCCCAACGTTGTTTCCCCAACGCCAACCATACAACCTTTTGCCAATGTTGGCCCAACATAGTCTTGCTATCTGGGGAACTTGGTAGATCCCAAAGTTATAAATCCCAGTGTAATATTAAATCCTTGTGTAAACTTATAAACCTTTTAATTACTTTTCTTTAAGAAATAAATCAAATTCTATTCTACAATTTATTTATGTAAACATGAATATATAAGCATGCAAAATTAAAATGAACACATTTTAATCCCAACTTCTTTAATAACCCAATTACTTACCAATATCCCTTGAATAATGATGAATTTAAGGTTAATAAATGACTTTATTATACTCAAGAATTGATTTTTACCGAACACCAGAACTCGCACCTTGGTAAATATTTCGGTGGAGTTCGGTGTTGATTCACCGAGATTAAGATTCACCAAGTAGTTACACCGTTCAAATAATTTAGGTGAAACTTGAAATCATTTCCTAAGTAAATAGAATACAATATGGGATGTGTAGCTGTTTAAATATTTTAGCTAACACAATATAATTTCACCGAAAACTACTGATCTTCAATTAATTTACCAGAGATCTCGGTGAAATAATTGGTGTCAATTGTTAAATCCCAAAGAAAACCAAAGCAATTAATTAATTACCAGATCTCCACGCGCTCGTCTCAATTGCTCCTCTGACATCTTCAAAACCAACAAGTCTACAGCTAATTATAGAAATTGACCCCCCTTTTATACCAGGTCATCCCAAAATGACAGTTACAAATTGGAGATTAATAGAGATGCTGGCTCGCAAGCTCCCCCTCCCAGACAGAACCCTGCTGTGCCTTAAGAAGTTGGGAAGCAAAACAAATTTACAATCAAACATTAAACAATCATTTACATAGCAATTCACTACTGCTTGATTCATTTTATCACTGAATGTTGAATTAATAAAATACTAATTGAATCATAAAATTATTATGATGATTATTCTAAATTTTATAACATAACCCCCCTTTTTGAAAAGTTTAGTCGCTAAACTAGCAATATCTACAGTAGTGAATCACTGTACAATTAAATATATTTCAGATTATAGTGTCTCTTTAATGGTTTACTCCATAATGTGCTGGCATCTGCACATTTCAAGTCTCTTTTTCACCACGCTTTCTAATTCCACAAGTCCATAAAATTTACACTCCACCATGATAGCTGCTAGGGCACTTCTCTCATCGGGTAGAACTCTGACATCTATTTGTCCATTGTTTCTAAGATAATTTAAAATTATTCCAAAATGCTTCGGATCTCTGTCAACAAAGTATGACGGCACATTTCCCGATGACTTCAAGCTGATTAGTTTGGAAAGCTTTGATGGTATTTGATTTACAGTCCCTCTAGTTGTTTTGAACTTATAACCCCCTATATTCAGTTGAATAATGTCGTTCTGCATTCTTTCTAATCCGTCTAAGATCTTAATGTCCTCCTCTTCTCTCTCAAATTGATCATCTGCCTCGATTGAAATTTCGTCATAATCCCTGTGTCCCAAAGGTGATCTTGATCTTGACCTTGAAGTTGTTGACGGCATTGGCCTTGGACTAGTGATGCGTGTTATCTGCAACGGAAGAATTTCCTTGTACCATTTGTCCATTTCCTCTTTCGCTGCTTTTCCTGATATGCGGGTGTTTATATTCACTGTCATAGTTGGGAATCCCCTTCGGCACTTCCCGTGTTCTTGATCTTTACGGGAAAGCGTTGGTCCACAGTCTTGGCATTTGAATTTAAATCCACTGTGCTGCTCTTGCACGTGTCTGTTTGCAGCATACAGACTCTCTGACCTAAACTTCTCACAAATATTACACACAAAGCTGGTCACCTAAAAAGAAATTTCATACTTTTGAAATCAACATGATAAAATAATAAAAAAAAAATAATTACATTTGTAATATATAGCCCTATCACTGGTATAACTGGAAATCACTATATTGCTGGGGAACTTTGACACTTCTCTTAGGACGCTGATCACGATTCACATTATTTTCTACTCTAGCCGCACTTCTAGAATCACTTTCACATTGCACACTTGAGTCAGTACACCATAATTCATTTCCCTTATCGTGTAAAACATCACCATCGGATGCATCCTCATTTGAAATAACTATTCCATCATCACTATTAATATCCATCCCGTTTTCTCCCAAATGAATATTTCCTCCATCACAAGCAACGGTTTTACTTCTCACTTTATCCCTATCAACTTCATTAACTTCCCAGTTTGGTCTGTTTTCTCCTTGATATGGTTTCAACCTATCAGAATGCACAACTTTCGGTTTTGATTTTGGAGACTCTTGTATCCTGTATGTCACATCACTAATTTTCTTCACAATAAGAAATGGTCCAATCCAGTGATTTCGCAATTTTTTAGACAACCCCTTCTTTTTCGTAGGATCATGTAACCACACAGCATCACCCATACTATATTCGTGAAAATTGATATTTTTGTCATATCTCTTTTTCATTGTGTCTGCAGTGATTTTTAGATTTTCTCTGGCATAATCATGCACACATCTCATTTGTTCAGATAGTTGAAATGCATAATCCGACTTTAATTGTTTCTGTTTTTCGTGTTGAACTTCGCCAAATATTAAATCAATTGGTAAAGTTATTTCCCTTCCAAGCATCATGTATGAAGGTGACACTTTTGTTGCTTCATGCACAGAGGATCTGTAAGCCATCATCACAACTGATAAAAACATGTCCCATTCTCTTTGCATAGGATCTATGAAAGCTGTTAACATATTTTGAATTGTTTGATTTGCACGTTCAACCATACCGTCTGATTTAGGTCGAAATGGCGTAGTTCTTGTTTTCTCCATATTCAACAATTCACAAATTTCCTTAAACAGTCCTGATTCAAAATTCGTTCCTTGATCAGTGTGAATTTCTTTAGGTACACCAAAGACACTGATGAATCGATCAATTAGAGCAGATGCAACAGTTGCTGCTTCCTGGTCACGTAATGGCACTGCTTCGGTCCATTTTGTGAAATAATCAGCTATCACCAGAATGTACCGATTTCCCTTTTCAGTTTCAGGTAGAGGGCCCATTATGTCTATCGCTATTCTTTCCATTGGAGCTCCTACAACATATTTCTTCATTGGTCCTTGATAATGTTTCACAGGTCTTTTTCTCGCTGCACACACATCGCAGATTTTACACATGTGTTGAATATCCTTCTCATATTAAACCAATAGAACCTACATTTCACTCTTTCCAAAGTTTTGTTAACCCCTAGATGTCCAGAAGTTCGAGAACTGTGTAACTCATTTATCACATATTTCTGTAATTCTTTAGGCAAGACAATTAACCACAAAATTTCTTTTCCACTATCTGATTCCCACTTTAAATACAACACATCATCCTTCAGCGTTAGTGAATCATACCGGGCCCACTAATGTTTCACTTCTAAGGATTCGGAAGAAACATCCTTCCATTCAGGTTTTATTCCTGAAGATTTCCATGTCATGACAATTTTTAGAACACTATCATTTCGTTGCATTTCCGACATTTCTGGTACGGACACAACTCTATTACACGAAGCTACATCAGCTGGCATGTCACTATTTGGACTTGCACTCGCGTCATTATTCAACGCAATTTCCAGCAAGCTACCCAAAACTCCACAGCCTCTGACATCTGTTTGAATGCCAATATCCACACTAGCACTGACATTCTTTTTCTCAGCTTTATCACAATAAGAACATTCAACATTAGAACATGGGCGTCTGGACAACGAGTCAGCATTTGAATGCAACCTTCCCTGCCTATGTTGAATTTCCATATCATAAGTGGACAGAGTCTCAATTCATCTAGCCATTTGACCTTCAGGATTTTTAAAATTGAGCAACCAACGCAATGCACCATGATCAGTTCTCACAATGAAATGTCTGCCATAAAGGTAATGATGAAATTGTTTCACCGCTTTCACAACTGCCAATAATTCCTTCCTAGTTACACAGTACTTCCTTTCTGGTTTTGAGAGTGACTGGCTGTAATAACATATCACTTTTTCCTGATCATCCTGTATCTGTGATAAAACAGCACCAAGTCCAGAATCACATGCATCCGTGTCCAACACAAATAGTCCAGTTCTATTAGGATAAGCCAATATTGGAGGTGACACGAGTAACTTCTTCAAAGTCTTAAAAGAAAACTCACACTCTTCAGTCCACACAAATTTTCTTCCCTTTTCTGTAAGTCTGTGAAGTGGTTTGGCAATAGAAGCGAAATTCTTTATAAATTTCCTGTAATACGAACACAACCCAAGAAAGCTCCTAACTTCATTTACATTTTTAGGAACAACCCATTCCTCAATCACCTTTGTTTTATCTGGATCAGTAGAAACTCCATTCTCACTCACTACATGTCCAAGAAATTTCACTTCTTTTTGAAATAAAACACATTTTTCCGGATTTAATTTCAAATTGGCTTCCTTGATTCTTTCAAACACCTGTGACAAATTTGAAACTTGTTCCTCAAAAGAATTGCCAATTACAATTATATCATCCAAGTATGCCATACAGATTTTCCAATTTAACCCATATAACACCTATTCCATCAGTTTCACAAATGTTGCACCACTATTGCACAATCCAAATGGCATGACTTTAAATTGCCAAAACCCGCTATCAAACGTTGCAAATGCTGTCTTAGGTCTATCCTCTGGTTCAACTTCAACCTGCCAATAACCACTTTTCAAATCCAGTGTTGAAAACCACTTAGAACCACTTAAAGCATCTAATGAGTCATCAATCCTTGGTAGAGGTTGCGAATCTTTCACTGTCACATCATTTATTTTTCTATAATCCAAACAAAATCGAGCTGTACCATCTTTCTTTGTCACTAATACTACAGGTGAAGCCCAAGGTCCACTTGACGGTTCAATTATATCAGCCTCCTGCATATCATTCACTGATTTTTGCACAATTTGTTGTTTAGCTAAAGGAACTCTCCTAGGTCTCTGTTTTATTGGAGTTGCACCTTGTGTATCTATTTTATGTGTCACTAAATTTGTTCTCCCTATGTCATTTGAATGTTTAGAAAAAACGTTTTGATTTGCCAGTAATAACTTTTGCACTTTTTCTTTCTCATCACTGTCTAGATTTATGGAGCTATCCTCAAATAACCTCTCCAGATGTTTTGGTAAACAATCAGACTCACTTGTCTGACAACTGCGGACTTCAGATGAAACCGATTCTAACTGAACTTCATTCACCTCAACACATTGAGCGATTAATACGTTTTTATTGAGGCTAATCTCCCGGTCAGTCAAATTCATTAACCTAATGGGAACACTATCTCCAGATGCATTTATCACACTTGATGCTATCAGAAGATTGTAACGGTCACTAAATTGTTCACTTGGTTCAATCAAGAGAAATTCAGAGTGTTCTCGATTGTCAATCACTTTCCCTTGTACAATGGCTTCACTGTTCGCTGGCACACAAGTTGACGATGCAATACCTACTCTACAACACATTGCCTCTGCACTAGACTTAAAACATGGAATAAAACTTTTTCCCAATTTAAGACTTTGTTCACTTAACACTACATCACAATGATGCTCCATAAGAAAATCCATCCCAAGGATTCCGTCATTTTTTATATCGGCAAGCCACATTTCATGATAAAAATCTATTTCACCCACATTCAAATTAAATTTCCCCTTCCCAAAGAAAGGTGAGATTTCGCCAGTTGCTGTCAACATTGCAATATTTACAGAATCCAATGCAGGCCTTACACTTTCAGGCATACTTTTGAAAAAGTCTACACTAAGAATAGATATATTTGCACCTGTATCTACAAGAAATGCAATCGGTACACCTTGTACACAAGAACGTATATACAGTCCGTCTCCATTCATCCAAGCTGAACCCACAAACTTTACTTTGGGCCAGTTTGTTCCTCCCGAATTCTGGCCCCTGAACTCGTTGTTCTCCTGTTCTACGTTTCCCTCGTTATAAAAAGCTTTCTTCTCTTGTTCCGTTGAAACCCTACGCGAATCACTCAATGCTTCCTGACACATTTTAAGTTCACGCCTTAGGTCATCAAAGTGCTTTTTTAGTTCTCGCATTTCTCCCTGCACATTATTTGCACTTTGTGTCCCATGTTGAGAATACTTTCCAAAGCCAGGTCCATTTTTTCTGTGGTAGCTTGTTAGGTGGCTTTTTATTGTATTCAGAAACATCCATTGATCTCACAAACACTTTTCCTCTTTGTCGATCGGCAAGTTTGTGAGTTTCGATACGAACGGCAATAATTTCAGCCTCAGAAATATTTTTTGGTCTTGCTTCACGCAGTCTAAAACGCATATCTGGATCTGTTAATGCATCAATAAAATGATCCAAAGCGAGAACATCGAGTAAATTCGAAGAAGCATTCGGATATGCTTGTCGTGTCAATTTCCTTCAATTAATTTACCAGAGATCTCGGTGAAATAATTGGTGTCAATTGTTAAATCCCAAAGAAAACCAAAGCAAGTCTACAGCTAATTATAGAAATTGACCCCCCTTTTATACCAGGTCATCCCAAAATGACAGTTACAAATTGGAGATTAATAGAGATGCTGGCTCGCAAGCTCCCCCTCCCAGACAGAACCCTGCTGTGCCTTAAGAAGTTGGGAAGCAAAACAAATTTACAATCAAACATTAAACAATCATTTACATAGCAATTCACTACTGCTTGATTCATTTTATCACTGAATGTTGAATTAATAAAATACTAATTGAATCATAAAATTATTATGATGATTATTCTAAATTTTATAACAATATGCAAAATATGATTGATTAGATTATCTTTTTTTAAATTCATCTCTTAAAGCATGTTTATTTAAGGTTAAAAGTTTAACTATCGTGCCTTAATATTCATGTACATTGTATAATGCCAATTACTGAATAAATATTATTATGGTTATTAATGTAGAGTACAGCGTGAATTTAAGTTATTTCCATTTATTAGTGTCTTAATTACATACACTCTGATAATGAATATTTTTAAGGTCTTTCATCAGCAATAATGGATGAAGTACCAGATACAGCCCAGCACTTTATTGAGTGTGACATTGGATCATGTAGGAACTTTTCCGAGTTTTACTGTAATACCTGTCACCAGCGATTCTGTGACCATTTCAAACAGTCTCATCTAGAGCAGAACAATGAACATGAGATTGTCCTTTATCACGAGAGGAAAAGAAAACTTCCTTCAGAAAAATTCCGCTTTCACCCTACAGAAGATATTAATAGTTACTGTACGTTCTGCCAGGATCCTCTATGTTCTACATGTTTTGCCAAAGACCACATTGATCATGATAACAGTGACCTTGAAACAATTTACAATGACATTCTTAAGCAATGTCAGAAGGAAGTTACTGATATCTGGAAAACAGTTATTCCTGAGGCTAAAGATAATGTCAAATTAATTGGTGAAAAGAGGAAAAATGTCAAAAGGGAAATTGGCAATTTTAGAGTATTCATGAACAAAAGGGCAAATGAACTGAAAGGGGTGATCGACAGTATACTAATTGATAATAACAAAAAGCTAGATGAGATCGAGGATTTTGTTATGGATGAAATGATGAATCAGCAGATTGAAACAGAGGACTATATAACTTACCTGGAAAAAATGACTTCAGACTATGAATGTAAAATATCATCCATTAAAGCAACAGAATTAGTTTTATTCCCAAGGATATTTCTTTAGCTTCCCTGAGGATGCTTAGAAAAGGTAAATACAAACATCCAATTTTCACTCTAGGCACACTTGATAAAGATGAAATAGCCAAACAGTTTGGAAAAATAGAATTGAATTCATCTGAAAAATTTGAGATTTCATCTGTCACAAAAGTAAGTGAAGTAACTTGCCATGGACATGGAATTTTTCATTTATCTCTTCTTCCCGAAAATGAATTTTGGGCTAGGGATAGCTTGGGAAATCTCATTCAGTTTGATATGGTAGGAAACATCTTACGGAAAATATCAACCAGCATGAATTATATCCATGGTAACCACACGGTCACCACCGAGGTAGAACTACTTTACACAGATAGCGATAAAAACACTTTCTACAGAGTGACTAGTGACAGTTCCATCAACAAACTTATTGAGACAGGTCACTGGATACCTGGAGCTATCTACTCCTCTCACATCAATGGACACATACTAGTTGGGATGGAGAGAGATACAGACAACAAACAAAAAAATAACCAGATACAACAGAGAAGGAAGAAAGTTACAGGACATACATGACGATAAAGGACAAGCTCTCTACCAAAGCTTTAACTTTATCACAGAAAACAATAATGGCGACGTATGTACATCAGATAGGAGGGCTAAAAAGGTTTTGGTAGTCACAAAATTAGGGGAGTATCGATTCTCTTACTCTGGTAATGAATCTCAGTATAGATTCTGTCCCTTTGGAATCTGTGCAGATGATCTGGGACACATTCTTGTGTGTAACAGTCATACTTTTTATAGTGAAAATTGCTGTAGTATCCACCTGCTGGACATTAATGGTCAGTTCCTGTCTCTTTTACTCACATCAAAACAATATCCTGCATATCATTTTACTCTCTGTATTGATAATCAACATAATTTCTGGGTAGGGGGATGGAACAGTTCTACTGTCACTGTATACAAGTATTTACAGAACACAAAAAAATAATATTAAATGCTAATTTTTAAATAATTTGTATAACAAACGCTATTTGCGTTAACAGGATGTAAACAAAAAAGAGTTTGACAAAAGAAATTTCGTTCGTTATTATGCTTTTCTTGGTTAAAAATAACTGGTTTGTGGGGATTTGATTTCAGGGTTTGAAAATGTTTATTAATAATGCATACATAATTCTCATTTCGTGATTGTCATAAATTCGTGGTTCTTTCCATACCTCCAAAACAACAGAAATTAACCCCCACGAAAATCATTGATTTTAAAGTAGGTGTCATCGATGAGATAGCATCTCCGACCGACCCCTATGGACTTTAACATATTTCCATACATAAGTCGTACGAACGAGGACAGCAGTTTGATGATTTGCAGGAGCTGAGAAAGGAAGTGTAAAATATTTCAATTTTATGTATGAAAATATTTCTTGATGACTGGTTATTGATAAATAGTTTTGGAAAACGTTAACATTAAATATGTTGGGAAAAAATACTTGTATTGCTTAGCTTTTGATGTATTTTTTATATCAAATTCAAATATAACTATTTGTGCTATGTTTGTGATGAAAACTTCAATACCAATACAAGAGGTCCATGACTCATCTGAGTACTGTGGCTAAGAATAAGCAAAAATCAATACAGTAAATGCATAAGTTGTCCTGACCATATGAGTTTGAACTTTTATTGTAGTCTTACCCCCCTTAAAGCCATGATTTAACAAATATACATACGCACTTTACCTGAAGATGATTACATTAAAACAATACCAATTAAGACTCTACTGTTCTTGGGCATGTTGAGAAGATCTTTCCTATATATTTCTATGTAAAAATTTGATCGTCCATTGTGGCCACGCCCTAACCCAAGGGGTCAAGACTGAATCAAAATTGAATTGATTCTACCTGCAAATACTTAAATATGACTAATGACAACTTTGCTATTCTCAAGAATATGATTTTTACTTAGATCTTCCTATTTATTCTTATGTAGAACTTTGACCCCTCCCCCCCATTGTTGTCCCACCTTACCCCCCAGGGGATCATGATTTGTACCATCTTGAATCTACACTACCCGAAGAGTCCTCTATATAAATAAACCAATAAAGACTTTTCTGTTTCTAATCAGAGGTTATTTAAAGATTTTCCCTTTATACAGCATTGTTTTAAACTTTGACCGTCCATTGTGTTCTCACCTTTCCTCCGGCGGTCATGACTAACATAATCTTGAATCTACTCTACCTTTGATAGTTTTTTATAAATATAATAATGACTTTGTTATTTTCAAGAAAATGTTCCAATACAATATACAACTCTATTTTCCTGTACAAAAATTTCATGATATGGTCAATAATGGCCGCACCCTAAACCAGGGGGTCATGATTTGAACAAAATTGAGTATCCACTACCTGAGAATGCCTCCACATACGTTTCATCTTTCCTAGCCCAGTGGTTCTAGAGAAAAAGATTTTTAAAGATTTTCAAATATATTTCTATGTAAGACTTTGATCGGCGATTGTTGCCCCGCCCTATTCTCAGGGGTCATGATTTTTTGAAAAAAAAAACTTGAATCTACACTAATGAGGATGTCTCCATATTAGTCTCAATCTTCCTGGCCCACAGGTTCTTGAGAAGAAGATTTTTAAAAGAAGTCATTATATTTTAAACAATTCTTAAGTATCGCCAATTGAAAGAAGGCGATGCCCTTCATTTTAATAAATTTGAATCCCACTTACCCAAGGAAATTGTGTCACAGGCCAGGTTTCGTTGAAAATGGACCAGTTGTTCTTTAGAAGACGTCAAAAATATTAAAAGAGCAAGAGCCATCTTATGCATAAAATGGTCCTGTACTTATATCAATTAATTAACTATCACCCTCTTTCCATTTTCATATATCAAAATAAATTAGATACTTGCTACTTTCATGTTCTATAATGAAATTTCGTTTTGAGAATCCAAATATTTGAAAACGGGCTTTGAGAAATTGCAATGTTCTTAGAATTTGCAGAAAATATGCGTTTTTGACTACCTTAAGCAAAGCATTAAAATATGAGCACAGCCCAAGATCCAAAAAAAAAAATTGTTTTTTGATCTTCAGAAATAATCCTTTCATTATGTATTGGCATATTTTGGATCAGAGGTTGTGCTCTTTATGAAATATTGAAAAAACGCTTCAACTTTAGGTTATTTTCATAGGAATTTACAGGATATGAGGAATATGACGCATTTTATGACGTCATAATGCATTGACTAGATGTGAAATTACGTCACAATTAATAGAAACGTGGTCACCAACAGTCTAAGTGATAAATACTGCATTTGCAACCTAAACTTCAATTCTAAGAAATTCTCAGGGTCAAATAAGGCCCAAAGTGACTCTACCTCTTTACAGATAGACGGACAGAAAGACACCAAACAAAATGTGATCAGAAAATTTACGTAAGCCTTTGGCAAACTGAAGCATCAATATAATGAAAATAATAGTTTCAAACACTTTTATCTATGTTTGTCAGTTATTACATGTATTAAAGCTCAACGTGACGTTTAGGGATAAATTTGTTTATTAGCATGATAGAGGTCAATATGTTTGACGTGTTCAACAGCTTCTTATTAAGAGACCGGAGCTTTGAATTATATGGTAAACAATTCTAAATAACCAATATTGTTTTACATTATAAATTTTCACACTACTCCTCTGTTTTTTTTTTAAATAACAGTGAGGCATTGTGAAAGAGATTTATCAACTAGATCATACTGATGAAATAAACCGAACTCAGTCTGGATGACATAGCGGACTCTGCACTCTATGATGGGTGAATAGAAGAAAACAGGGGGATATATACCTGGAAAAATTATTGCATTTGAACATACTTTGTGACAGGTCTTCTAATTTTTTTTTGTTTTTATTCCCAAAATGTTGATTTTTCAGTTTTCGAAATATTGATATTAGCCATATCGGTCAGAAATCTTGTAATCCGGTTACCATGGTAACAGAGGATGTCCAGAGTAAAACTCGTTCAGTACGAACACGGATATAGCGGATTCACAGATATAGCAAGGTTTTTCTGGGTGCCCGGCAAAATTCTTAACAAATCTTTTTTTAAATTTTACGGTTATAACGAACTCTGATATAACGAATTTACGTATATAGCGAACTGATTTTGAGTCCAATTGAGGTTAAATATAATGAAATTCACATCGTTTCTAACGAACTTTCAAAGATTATTTTATAAAAAATGATAAATTGAACTGACGTTTACTTCCTTTTAGCATTTATATATAAAAGTCAATTCATAATAATACCTTAGTTATCGAAGATAATAAATTATGTTTTGTAATATTTACTTCCCTAACAGTTTTGGTAATAATACTTGAAGGAAAACATGCATATTGCGAATTCGCTGTAATGGTTATATGAATTCGTTATACGGATATAACGAATTACGGATATATAGCGAATTAAATTCACAGGTCCCAAGGACTTCGCTTTTACCGAGTTTTACTGTACATGTAAGTTTTACCCTAGGAAGATATTATATGCCAAGTTTAAAGAAAATCTGAGAGATGACTTGGCCAACCCTTCTTACAATCTGATTGATTTTTACAGTGAACTGGTCGTAATACTTAAGCAAACTATAACTAGATGCTGTCATGAGACAGTAATACCCGCACTATGGTGTTTGCCTCTAAATATACACTCATTCATATTGGACTTTCCAAGGAAGAAGTCACAATAATTCTATAATTATCACCGTACATGTATTCGTCAAATTGAACATAAAATTTTCAGATGACCATATCAACTCTGAGCCTCACATATGTATTTTAAAATACTTAATTCATAACCAGTCTGAAATAACAGAATTTAATTAATGATTGAAGTAAATTACTTAATTAGATTCAAATAAATAATTTCCCCATAATTTGGAACTTTTTAAATTTACTTTCTCAACGACATAAAATATTATTTTAGTACAAAGCATTTTTGATGAATTTATCAAAATGTGCAAACTGATTTAAGTATCTGGTCGGGAAAAAAACCCATTGAAAATACAACCCGATTAATTTGTCAATGCCTATCTCCCCCCCCCCCCCCACACACACACACACACTCTCTCTCTCTCACTCTCACATTTTTAAAAAAAACATAGTTTAGTTTATTATGATAGTTTGAAATTTGTTCTTGTACTAAACAGTTTTATTTTCTACATTCACATTGGGTTTGCGTCACCCATTATCATATTTATAGATATCACCTCTCGGCACACCTCGGCCAATTCATACTGGCAAAGGAATCAGCAAAGGTTTGTCGAATGAGATTATTTAGCACATGTATGCTGACGATGCAGTGTGGTCAGTTAAAATCATTTGTGTTTTAATTGGATTATATGGATTATATTTCATGAATTCGTTGTCACGACCTATGACATTCGGTAAGTACAAGATTTAGCATAGATTGCATAAAAATAAATAAATGCAAATGGTTAGGTTGAAGTTCAAAAAGGGTCAACATGGTCAAAGATCATCGCATGCCACAGTCGACAAATTTCACATTGTCAAGTTATCTCCCGTTGCGGACATTCAGTATATAACAGACGCAGATCCAGAATTTTTTTTTTCAGAAAGGGGGGGGGGGGGGGGTGTCACACCTCAGTCAAAAAAATCAGCCCAAGATTTCCTGAGATGGAAATAAAAAATAATAATAAAAACAATGATGGTGGAGTCCCTGTTTTCTAAGGGGGAGGATGTCCAAAGTCATTTTTATTCTCTACAGTACATATATAGTCTTATTTAAATAACTGCTAATTCCGGGGGGGGGGGGGTCTGATCTCCCTAGCCACTGACTCCCTGTACCTGAAATGACAATTGATCTTATGACTCCATAATAGTAGAAAATTTTTTCAATTGACTATTTATACATATTTTGTTTCCTATGTTTATGTATTTTTGTCTGTCCACGGAAACTTTAACCTTGCCCATATTTTTTAAGTGGATTGGGCTATACACATGGCTTGAATATTTCATAGGTAAATTTCTTTTGGCAAAACCTTTTAATGGGTACCACCAATTTTGACCTCTTGATCTCTTGACCTTGGATTTTGACCCAATTTTACAAGAAAAATACCTTGAACTTGGCATAAGTTTTGAACAGGTGGTGCTAGGACTTTCATGCTCTTACATGTGTAATCATTGTGAACTTTCAACAGGTATAATTATTTTTGACCTAGACCTTCGAGTTGAATCCAATTTAACTTTAACCTTGGCAATAACTTTTGAACAGGTGAGGAAGTTCTAGGGATTTCTCCCTTTTTTCACATGTGTATTCCTTGTGACAAGACTTTCCCTTTGATACCAACAATTTAGACCCTTTGACCTTGACCTTGGAGTTTGACTTACATTTGAGAAACTTCAACCTTTGCCAAAAGCTGCCATAACAGTTGCTGTCACAACAAACAAATTACTAAAAAAAAACACAGAATACATGTACATATTTTATATTCAACAGATATACATCTGGTCATATCTCTAGTTCTCCCTTGAATGAGACATGGTGATATAAATTTTAAAAAATAATTATAAGAGTTGAAAAGGTTGTGCATATTGAAATATACTAAGCTCTGCGGATGAATTAGATATACCAGTTTAGCTTTATTTTGCTACCCAAAGCACCTTGATTAACTATTTATAAGCATACTGTTTTCTGAAATGTACTGATTTCTGTTGTCCATCTGTTTATCTGCAAACTTTTCACATTAACTTCTTAAGAACCACTAGGCTAATTTCAACCAATTTACATTTAAATATGCAGGGTACTTTTTAAGTGCCCGGATCGATAGATCCCGGGCGTATATTGTTTTTGTCCTGTCTGTTTGTCTGTTTGTCTGTTTATCTGTTTGTCTGTTTGTCAACTTTAACCTTGGCCATAACTTTTGAACAATAAGGGATAGGATAGAGACTTCATATTTGGTAAGCATACTCCACTAATAAAAACCTTTCAAATGACTTCAAGGTCAATGACCTTGTGACCTTGACTAAGACTTATATGCTAAAAATAGCTTTTTCCACTGTTTGTCATAACTTTTGAACCATAGGAGATAGGGACTTCATATTTGGTATGCATACTCCACTAATAGAGTCCTTTCAAATGACATCAAGGTCAATGATCTTGTGACCTTGACTGTGACCTATATGCTAAAAATAGCTTTTTACACTTTTTGCCATAACTTTTGAACCATCAGAGATAAGGACTTCATATTTGGTATGCATACTCCACCGATTAAGTTCTTTCAAATGACACCATGGTCAATGACTTTGTGACCTTGACTGTGACCTATATTCTAAAAATAGCTTTTTCCACTTTGTCATAACTTTTGAACCATAGGAGATAGGGACTTCATATTTGGTATGCATACTCCACCGATAAAGTCCTTTCAAACGACGGCAAGGTCAATGATCTTGTGACCTTGACTGTGATGGATATGCTAAAAATAGCTCTTTACACTTTTTGCCACAACTTTCGAACCATGGGAGATAGGGACTTCATATTTAGTACGCATACTCCACTGATTAAGTTCTTTCGAATGACACCATGGTCAATGACCTTGTGACCTTGACTGTGATCAATATGCTAAAAGAAGATTTTTTTAACTTTGTTGCCGCCGGGCGCGTAGTGTTTCACAAACACATCTTGTTCCAACATAAATCTTCTTCTCAAGAACAGCAAAGACATTTATTGTCCCCATTTTTGCTAAAGGTAGGGTACATTAAATCTCATTTGTTTGTCAATCTGCCTATCTGTCACAATAAATTTAACCTTGGTCATCATGGTCGTATATTTTGAATGAGAAGAGATAGGACTTTTATATTAAATATGTGTATTAGTATTAAATGGGACAATACCATTCTACATACAATATGATTTTCATTACCCATGATCTTGAAGTTTGACCTAATTTCCTTAAAAAAATTAATTGCTTTGAATTGATCATTTTGAAAGATAAATGAAAGGGCATTCATATTACCTGTGATAAGACCTTCCAAAATGTTTCATGACTTTTTGACTCTGTGACCTTGACCTTGAAGTTTAACTTAGTTTTCATTAATGTTGTATTTCCTTTTCATTGAGAAGAGATTTGACTTTCACATTTCAAGTGAACATTACCCATAACAAGAGGCTCCCAACATGCTATGATTTTTTACCCCTTGACCTTGATGTTTTAACAAAATTTCAAAAGAGTGAACTCTCCCTAAAGATGATAAGACCACTGTTTAAAACAAAAAAGGAGTTTAGGGAAGACTGGGCTTTTTCCATAAAAAACGTCATTTTTCAACCCTCATTTGACTCCCCGGGCAAAATCAAAATTCCGAAACCTAACTGCACATCTACATGACCCAACCAACCATCTCCCAAAGATGATTAGGATGCTGAATAAAATGTAAGAGGAGTTCAGGGAAGATGGGGCTTTTTCCATAAAAAACATCATTTTTCGACCCTTATTTGACCCCCCAGGGCAAAATCAAAATTCCAAAACCTTACTGCACATCTACATGACCCCACCAACAATCTCTCAAAAGCTGGTTAGGCTACTGAGTAAAATGTAGAAGGAGTTCAGGGAAGACGGGGCTTTTTGGACAAAAAGCGTCATTTTCGACCCCCATTTGACCCCCTGGGGCAAAATCGAAATTCCGAAAGCTTACTGCACATCTACATGACCCCACCAACCATCTCCCAAAAGCTGGTTAGGCTACTGAGTAAAATGTAGAAGGAGTTCAGGGAAGACGGGGCTTTTTGGACAAAAAAAGTCATTTTTCGACCCCCATTTGACCCCCCGGGGCAAAATCGAAATTCCAAAACCTTACTGCACATCTACATGACTCCACCAACCATCTCCCAAAAGCTAGTTAAGCTACTGAGTAAAATGTAAGAGGAGTTCAGGGAAGACGGAGCTTTTTGCTTAAAAAACGTCGTTTTTCCACCCCCATTTGACCCCCTGGGGCAAAATCAAAATTCCGAAAGCTTACTGCACATCTACATGACCCCACCAACCATCTACCAAAAGATGATTAGGCTACTGAGTAAAATGTAAGAGGAGTTCAGGGAAGACGGAGCTTTTTGCTTAAAAAACGTCATTTTTCGACCCCCATTTGACCCCCTGGGGCAAAATCAAAATTCCGAAAGCTTACTGCACATCTACATGACCCCACCAACCATCTCCCAAAAGCTGGTTAGGCTACTGAATAAAATGTAGAAGGAGTTCAGGGAAGACGGGGCTTTTTGGACAAAAAAACGTCATTTTTCGACCCCCATTTGACCCCCTGGGGCAAAATCAAAATTCCGAAAGCTTACTGCACATCTACATGACCCCACCAACCATCTCCCAAAAGCTGGTTAGGCTACTGAGTAAAATGTAGAAGGAGTTCAGGGAAGACGGGGCTTTTTGGACAAAAAACGTCATTTTTCGACCCCCATTTGACCCCCCGGGGCAAAATCGAAATTCCAAAACCTTACTGCACATCTACATGACCCCACCAACCATCTCCCAAAAGCTGGTTAGGCTACTGAGTAAAATGTAAGAGGAGTTCAGGGAAGACGGAGCTTTTTGCTTAAAAAACGTCATTTTTCGACCCCCATTTGACCCCCTGGGGCAAAATCAAAATTCCGAAAGCTTACTGCACATCTACATGACCCCACAAACCATCTCCCAAAAGATGATTAAGCTACTGTGTAAAATGTAGGAGGAGTTCAGGGAAGAAAAGTGTGACAGACGGACGGACGGACGGACGGACGGACATGAGTAACAACAATATACCCGAACTTTCTTTAGAAAGTGCGGGTATAATAAGCAATAGTTAACTTATTAAGTATAGATTTGTGTAACCAGGGTTTTGTAATGGTATTTAAAAATGTTACTCTGAACTTGTGCTGCGTATGTGTGAGAATGTGGTATGAAAGACTCTTTGTGAATGAGGTAGTTATTATTATCAAGACACAAGACGGATAGTCACATGACTTTATACTATTCACTGAATTTCCGCTTTAACGAACTAACATCGGGTGCTCTTAGCCTAGCTGTTGAACTGGCTAGATGTATATATTCATCCTATATAGATTGTAATATCTGTGAATTCTTGTGTGTGTCCCGGTAAGATGAATTTGTGAAATATATTCAAAAAAAATGTCTTTTATGTTCTTATTATCTGTCTAAATGCTTGTCTATGTGTCTTCTATAGGTTGTGTGTAATTGTAATTTCAGTTTTTTGAGATTTTCTATCCACCTAATAAATTTTTTAACCTTAACCAGAGTCATTTTTCTGATATTCAATCACTTACTACATTTGGAAAACATTTATCAGTAGTGTGTGTTTAGGATCGGTAATTAAGAACAAGGAAACATCTCATTAGTCAAAAAGGAAGGATATAGTTTTATCCAATTTGCCAGTTCACAGTAAACGCACTTTTCAACAAGTTCTATTAGACATTCCTTGTTGTGTGAAATTGACTGAATTTTATTATTTAATTTTTATAATTATTTTGTGCCATCGATTGATTCTTGTTTATGTGTATCGTCGATATGATATTTAATTTTGTTTCCAGTGACCAAATATACCTTTTTGCAGTTGACTTCGCATTTACCCTTTATGCCACCATTTGATGTTTACATCTTTTGTTGTCCCTTTGATATTAAGTTTTGTGAACATATGATTTAATTCTTGATGGCCTGCGCAATTTCTTAATTTTTACGTTAATTGCCCTTAATTTACTTTAGTGGTCCTTTTTATTCAGTTTTTATTGATTACATATTTTTTATATGTGCTGTCGATTGCAGGAAGCCTTTCTTGGGGTCAGATTTGTAACTTCTTTGTATGCATCCGCTCCAGCTTGATAACTAATATTTTCAAAGGAAGAAAAAAAAACAGATTAACAGGTCGTAACAGGTGGGATTATTTCTGTTCTTTCATAATTTTTACGACAGGATTGGTATATGAAAACCTGTAAATACATTTTGCATTTATTATTTTTTTACCTCTCCTTTCTCTCTATTGAACAGTGACGTCTATTGTGTTTCTTTCCTGTGGCAAGAAATTCAGTGGTGGATCCGGCAGAGTTGTTTTTTCAACAGAGGTAGGGTATTGTAATGTGTATAGCTAGTCGTCTATAAAAGCTTTATGTACGATAGATTCTGGACCCCCTCATTTTCACAAATTTAAACAAATTAACCGCGAATCACTAACTTAATTTAAGGTTCTCTATGAGGCATGGTGTAATCAAACTGACTACCACAAATTTTAAGGTTAAAAGTGTATGTTTATTTTGATCTGTTTTAATGCAATTACAACAGTTTTTTTCTCTCTTTCTCTCTCTTGTTTTACATCAGGGGAACATATCAAACACGTACTTCTCCTTGGAGTCTTTTGTGAGAAACAGCAATAGTTAGAAAAGATAACGGCTCAAAGAATCGCTCTGTCCTGCTTGATTTTTAAAACACCTCTTAGTAAAGATCATATAATATATAACATATAATATGATATAAAGTTTTAACCTTCACAGTAACAGACCAGCAATGCGCTACAGATGTATCTCGCTCTATCTAGGTAACGTAATTGAAACCAGGAAAACGACGATCTTGTGGATCAAAAAAGTGCACTGTAAAATAATTCAATTTGCATTCATGGAAATGGCATATAAGTTTTCAAAATGTTTAACTTTCAAACTGCTACGATAACAGAAGTGACGTAATGAACTAGAATTTACAAATATTTTGAACTATTTGATAAATAGACAGATCTCATTACAAAATGAATAATAATTCACTCCGATAGTCGCACTTAGATATTGAAAACTATCTCAAGCAGTTGAAGGCGGACCTTTATCAGATTTTTTTTTACTGATTTTACTTTGATAAACTACCGATTTTCCTCCTTTACCAAGCGCAGAATGTTCAGTTTTCAACGTGTGTGGTAAAGATTACTTTATAATTTCAAGATTTTTTAATGAACTTAAAAAAGTATTGCTTCTTTGAGAAAAATTCAGATAACATAGAAAATCAAATATAATAATATTTTTATACCAGCTATACCCAATTCGATTAATATAAAACTAGAACTCTGCATACACATTTGCATTTAAGATTGCATTTATAACTATTGATGGATGAAACCAATACTAGTTTTCTCGTAAAAATGTAGAGTCATCCATTAATCAATTCGCTTATTAATTTCTTAATCATGTCAATATCACCTAACTATCAACATTGAACATCATTCGAAGAATCGAAAGTAGTCTGAAAAAAAAATATTAAGAAATTTAATCAAAAACCTGTCATTGATTTTGTGCTCAAATTTTTAGATAGAAACAAACTGAATTTATTATACCCCTGCTTGAAAAGTGAAAGGGTATATAGTAATCGGTATTTCCGTTCGTCTGTACATCTGTCTGTCTGTCCGTCCGTCTGTTATGCCTTAACTCTTAACCGCAACTCCTCTAGATCTTATACTACTGAGTGTAATATTTGAAATTTTCACAGATTCTTTACTGCATATTACAATTGAGCACCTCCTATTTTACTTTTTTATTCGACACGTATTTTAAATTTCCCATAGCAAAACATGGAACACCTATGACGTCACATAGAAGCTTCTGGATAACATTTGATAGGATGAGTTTTTCCTATTTACACATTACCGTAAAAAAATATATAGCAACACATGGACATTATGGGAGGCAGGGGGTATCATTTAGTGAGCTCATTGCTCACAGTACCTCTATTTTGTTTGACGTCTAAAAAGCAGTGCAAAAGCTAAACGTGAAAGAACTGTACATTCCAAAACTTGCAGATATTTTATGCAAGGAAATAGAGATAGAATTTTTTTTGGTCATACTACTTTAGTTTTAAAAAGTAGACAAGAAAATAACATAACAAAAATAAGATTTAAAGGACCCCAGCCCTCTGCAATTAATTTCACAAAGAAAATTTAAAATTTCTAATATCGATTTTCATAACAACAATAGCATTAGAGCCACATGGAAAATGTTTGAAGTATTAAGCTTATTTCTTTCAAAAATGACTTTTATTTTATACCTAGATATGAAGAAATGTCAACGTAGAGAACAGAAAGAGTAACGATTTATTATCATAGCATTAAATCTAAAATATGAGATATATTTGATAATACATGTAATACTTAGTATCATACCTATTTAAATCATGTTAGGAAACATCATGAAGAGATGCTTCCTAAGTCAGAAAATCCGCATGTTTTCTATGGTTGAAAGAAACAAATACATCTGTGAGAAGTTATCTTTCTTCTAAATATATTTTATGTTAAAAATTCATACTATTAAAAATTCTATTTTAAGTACGTGAAACATTAAACAATTCATTGTTAAAATGGTCCTTAAAAGATGCAACTAATTCAATTTATAAGGCTTTTGAACTTGGTTTTGAATTTTGTATTGTGATATAATATGCATGTATTGTGAATATTGTATTGAAATATAAAAAAAAATCAAAACAAAAAGAAATTGGTAAAAGAAATAGAAAATAATGTTTCTTTCATATGTTAGGTTTTATTGAATTGACTAGTCAGAGGTTTCAATTATGAAACTCAAATTAACAAATTGTGAGTATTATTCATGTTTTGTACTTTAAACTTATCTGTGTTATATCAGAGGGTCGTTATATGCATCCCTTAAAGTAAGACCATACAGGGGCCTAAAGAGTTGATGCATGTACCTTTTTGGAGATACATACGAGGGCTGTATAATAAATTATGCCCTTAGCTCTATGAAATAAAACACAGAAATCATATGACATTAAGCTTGACTTTCTCGCATGATTAATCATTGAACTGATTACAACTCATGTGACAACTTTTTGTCCCATAGTGGCATTGTGAGAAGCTGGGAAACAAAGACTATTCGATACACTGCATTAATTGAATGGTAAAAAATCAGTAAACTGAAGTTAAAATAAACACTTCAATTCAGTCTGTAAACTTTATGAGAAATCCTAAAG